TCAGCCAATCACATTTGAGGATTGGAACTTATTGTTGTATAATATTGTATAACAGCTACTAATTTGAGATGGACAGGCAAAGGATAACTGGTTGATCTGAGTTCTTTACCTGGTAAGGTTTCTCAGGTCTGTAGAAGAAGTCACAGTAGATATATCCTAGCAGTCCCTCGGTTTCATGCACCACAGCCTGAAGGAACAGATAAAAATGACAAGTGACATTTAAAAAAAAAACTGATTTTAAATGTTAAGCCCGTTGGGTAAGATAATCAAGCACAGAAGCATGATCTCACCAGCTTGCGCACATCTTCGCTCCAGACCTCCCCCACACTGGGCTGCTCAGCCAGCAGTGATACACCATACAGCTGTGTGAAAAGACCATTCAGACCTTCCATACACGCTCCCAGCGAGAAGTATGGACTGTACAGGCTTGGCTCGATGTTGAATCTGTGGAGACAAAACATAAACATGCCATGTTATTAAAGGCTGAATGTCCATTTCACATTTTTTTCCTCACAAAAACCACAGACTACAAATGAGAAATTACAAGAATATAGAAAGAAATGTCTTTTTCTTATTATTATTAATGTTGAACAGTTGTTTTATGGTTTAATGGTTTTTTAATTGACCTCACAAGTTTTCAGAAAAGTAGTCTGTATATTAGTTAGGTTTTGTGCGTCATCTGAGGGCAAAGTTTGACAAAAAAGAAAAGTTTTTGACTAACATATTTGAACGTTTGACAGTAGTGTATTATTTTAGGAGGAAATTCTTAGATGTAAGAAAATTAAATTCCACCTTAAGCTCAGATCTCTTACCTTTCTGCACGTATCACACCACTGAAGTATGGATGATCCCACGGCATTAGTTCCTACAAAGGAAGATTTCATTCTGTCAAACTCTTGCATAGAACAATGAAACATTTCTCACTTAAACAAACTTGCAGCTAAGTTTGTAAAATTGTACATTTCTAAATTTTTACAAGATGTTACAATATAATAGCAGAGATAATTGAGCAGTGCTTACAGAATTTTTGGGGTTGAGTTTTGTCTTCATATCCCTGATCATTTCAAAATCCCTTTTAGTCCTAAAGTTTACAGAAATATCATTTGTTTATATTATATAGCATTCTAAAAAATTATATAGTATATGCATAAATATGTATCAATGCACATGCACACAAGCGTCTTCATTCTATGTTGTTCACATGATGTTGTTGACAGTGACACCTAGTGGCACACGCTTGCAAAGACAACGACAATACAGTGATTAATAGATAAATTATTTAAACTATCTTAAAAAATCCGACAGTAACTTTTTCACATAATTTATTCATTATTATGCATCTGTGGCTTAATGAAACTGAAAAATTTTGAAGATAGCAAACTCAACCTGTCCGAGAGCTTGTCTGTGATCTGCTGTAAGAAGCTCATAACTGCCTCTGTAGAGAAACAAGAACGTGTCATAAACTTGTATTCCAATATTATAAATAGCATTAAACATAATATAAATTTTATATTATTTATTTAAAAGAATTAACATGAAGTCTTATAAGCAGTGTGCTTAAAAAATAATCATTACTATTGCAGTTCTGCTAATGGTACAGAAATTACACACTTTATACACTATATATATATATATATATATATATACACACACAAACACAATTTCCCAATTTCTTCTACCTGGACTTTTAGCCATGGTTCCCTTTAATGCTCTGTGCGCATAAGATTCATAACCAACCAAGCAAGCCAGTTTATCTCTACAGGCCAGGAGTTCCTCAAGTATGTGCATTGCATTTTCATTCGGGTAGAGGAAAACTTTATACGCAACTTCCCTGACCTGTAAAAAATGTGCACAAAACAAAACACTGGTTACACCACAACAAAGCCACCTGAGGGTATAAAGGAAAAATGACAATATTATAGGAGTTTCTAACTATTTCAATTAATATGTTTAAAAACAGTTTGTACTAACTAAGGAAAGCGCTGTACCAGATCATCAGGTGCGTCCGCATGCAGGCCGCTGATCTGAACGTACTCTCCCTCTTTACTGAAGTGCTGGTGAATGTGTTGAGGAAGAGCTCTCTTCTCTATTCTGACGGGCATGTGGCAGCTCATGAGAAACTGATTGCTCAAGTCCAGCAGCTTCACATTCAAGTTAACAGCATCTTTCCTCTGTGAAATAGCAGAGATGTATAGCAGTGTCTTACACACAAATGTATTTTACCGTCCAGTATAGTTGTAACGGTATTAAAACTTCAGTAGCCGGTACCATTACCAGTCAAATTTGCATTCTCTGTACCAATTTCGTATATCTCTTGAATGGACGATTCAATGACAGATTCATTTTTAACAGTCACTTGTTGCCACTTACTGGTGTAACAATGTAATTGATACAATATTAATTGTGTCAAAATACTTTCAAAAGGTGATGCACTCAGTTTTAAGGATTTATATCCAAACTATAAACTTTTTTCCCAGTACCTCTGTGATGCTCTGAATTACTGCAAGACAGAAATAATGATCCTCTGTGAGCCGTTTCATACTATACGTGACTCTATCTGAGTCTGCAGAAGCAGATTTGAATGTTCACTGAGATCTAGTCCATCAAGTTAAAGGTTTAATAGACATGGCTGAAACGGTGTCATTTAGGAATAAGATCAGTGTGTTTGAATCGAGATCGCAATCTTTTTAATGAATTAATTGTGCAGATCTAACTGAGATGAGACAAAAAAGTATAATTAATAAAAAATAATATAAAATAAATCAAACCTTTTTTTTATCCAGATGGATTCCACTTATTTCAAAGTCAAACATGAACAGTTCAGCCACTCTTCTGCATCAATAAAACAAAATTACAAAGTACTTTTTTTTTTAAAACAAAGAAAACACAGCAACACCACAAACTTGCATTAATGAAGTAAACAAGATCAATTTGATTGGAATTTCATGTTGACTTTGAACATATGCTTGGACATTTATCATACAATAAAACAGAATATCTAATTTATACCTTGTTTCTGGGTCCAGTTTGGCTAAGATCTCTTTGTTATCCAACAGGTCCTTTAAGCTCTTACACAATTCAACATTGGTATTGAGTCTGCAGGACAAAATAAAAACCATAAATATCACTGTCAAAAAAAACCAAAACATATATATATATATAAATCCAGGCCCACCTCTCCACCATAGTGCCAATGTTTATGCAAGTCCTCTCTGCAGCCTCACGGTAAGACGGGTCGGGATGTGCCACTTTAATAAAGTCCGCCTACAAAATAAATAAATAAATAATTAGATGTATTTTTAATATATAAATATTTTTTATTCCAATATATTTCAAATGTAATTTATTTATGTGATGTCAAAGCTGAATTTTCAGCATCATTACTCCAATCTTCAGTGTCACATGATCCTTCAGGAATCATTCTAATATGACGATTTGCTGATCAAGAAACATTTCTTCTTATTATAATCAATTTTGAAAACAGTTTTCTACGGAGGCAGAGAGAGCTCAGTAAACTGATCAAAAGTGACAATACATTACATACATTTATAATGTTATAAAAGATTTCTATTTCACATGAATCATGTTCTTTTGAAATTTATATTCATCAAACAATGCTGGGGGTAAAAGTACCACAGTTTGCACACACACACACACACCACGTTTTAACTTTAATAGTGAAACACATTTTAATTGTGACCGAAACTTCACCTGAGGAGAGTAGTATGCTAAAGTTCTCATTTGTCATCTTCTATTATTATTAGCATACTTGTTTACCATGTCTGCCACTCTGCATAGGCTGTCTGACAGTTTGTCAAATATCTCCACAGTCTGGACTCCAGGGGGGCAGAGGCAGGCTTTCTCCACCAGCTGCTCTGTCTCCTGCAGGGCTCTGTTCTGGACCACCTCAAACCCCTCAACAGAGCCGAGCTCTGGAACACCAAACAACCCCTGTCACACACACATTCACAGTTAGTGCTTTACGATATTAAAGGTCAATCAAACAGCAATTACAATTAGACATAGATACAGAGCGTACCACATTTTGTTGGTAGAGCTCTAGTCTCCTGTGGACTTTAGCATTGAAAGCGGCTCCTACAGGGGACCAGGTGGTGACTGTCCTACAAACACGCGCTGCTGTCCCGCGCCACAGCAAACATAGCAGCGGTCTGTACGCGGACATTACTGTTGACAGTCAACATGCGACTCTACAACCACATTAAATTCACTCTCCACAGCCAGAACAACCGACAACTGAAAAAACTAGATTAAACAACCCAAACAAACTGAAAACACTGCAGATGGTTTTGAAACGCTCCTTCCAATGACAGTGAGCAGCACTTTGATATCGCATAAGCACATTCGACACGTACATATTAGTGTGAATTTCTAAATAATATTTTATTATTTAAGAATATTAAAATCAGCTTTTTTTTAACGAATACAGCCGTGGTCTGATTATTTACAAGAGATATCCAAAGATGTTACAGTGAGTTTAAACAGCAAGTGAAAATTAAGCGAATCATCTCTGGGATTTCAAAATAAAAGTTCAAACATTAGGCTCCTTAATATATGACTTAGCAACAGTTTATTATAATGTCTGTAAATAATAACAGCAATAATAATAATAATTGTTATTATTATTTATTATAATGTTTATTTATTATTTTATATATTTATATACTTGTTTAACATAAATTTGAACATTTAGATTTAAAAAAGAGAGACTAGCTGAGAGAATATCTATCTATCTATCTATCTATCTATCTATCTATCTATCTATCTATCTATCTATCTATCTATCTATCTATCTATCTATCTATCTATCTATCTATCTATCTATCTATCTATCTATCTATCTATCTATCTATCTATCTATCTATCTATCTATCTATCTATCTCAGACTGTAAAAAATGATCTATCTATGCTAAAAGTGGGCGTGGCTCTTGATTGGCGTGGTTATCAGATTCATGACGCAGTACGTTCTGTACGTGATGTGTGACGCGCACTCACTGCCGCACTGTACAGTCACATGACCTGCATTATGGTGCTCGTTCGCTGTCAAACTTTAATCCGTTTTTTCTTTTAGACTAGAAAAGCGATGGACAGAGCGGAATTTTTGACGTCTTCTGATTTCCAGTGATATGTCAGGTCAGTTTTATATTCCTTTACAGACATACAAGCCCCGCGTTTAAACATTATTGTGTGTTAGGTTAAACAATGTCAGTTAACGTACATTTTAAACCTCTGGCTAGTTCCTATTTTTGTTTTTATCATCTTAAAGATTATGCCATTTTGACAAGTCGGAACTTCCCGGTATAAGCAATTAGCATTTATGCCAGCTCATAAACAAATGTTTACACAGCTGCATAACACTCACAATTGTGAAACTATGCTGTTAACTATATGATTGATACAAATAGACAAATAATTATATATAGAAAGATTAGCTATCTTTGGTCTAGCCGGGAACTGAAAACATGCTTTTAATGTGTACTTATTTTGCAGAGTCATGCTCAGTCACTCTGTTTACTAATCTTAAGGGTTACTCAAATGTTTTTAACATTGAAAGGTAAGATTATAGTGGCTTCAAATATAGGCTATATTTTACTCTTTGTATTCTACATGGCATATTTGTAAATGCATCTGTATTCTGTATGTGCCCCTCATCACCACAATGTATTGAGCTGGAAATCACTCCACCCAAGTGTAACTTGATGCATCTCTTTCTGTATTTCCACCGTCCTTGTTACACAGTTGCGTCTATGTATCTGTTATTTTGTAGCTAAACCCCTGCGTCATGTCTGTGGATGGCCCCCGGACCTCTGTTTTCACCTTTCAGTCCGCTGTTCACAGCCATCATGTTCTTCGCTCGCTGGAGGAACTGAGACAGAAGGAGCTCTTGTGTGATGTGACTGTTGAAGTGGAGCGCAGGAGCTTTCGAGCACACTCTTCTGTGCTGGCTTCTTCCAGCCACTATTTTTACACCAGGCTTACAAACCACAGCCGACCAAACCTCACTGTCATCTTACCGGATGAGGTAATGCTTGATATGGTGGATGGATGGGTTGAACCTGGAGGTTTTCAGAAACCTATGGTTAAGCTGTCTTCTCTTTATGATTTGTTGTTATTTTTAACAGAAACACACTCACACAAACACACACATTGCATAGTTATATATAAAATTGATCAGAGCAAACTCTAAAACAAACAATTCAAACCAAAGTGAAAAATATGTCATCCTTTACTCATTTACTTGTATAAATATAGAATCCATTAGGGTTAGTGACATGACGCATAATTTTATTTATGAGCACGGCTATATTTATCCAGAAATACATTAGAAAAATTCACACTTACATACTGCTATGATGACCATGTTTATAATTTCTGATTTCTGAATTCAAATTAATTTAGATATTTTTGAGGGGTAAACAGTATAAAAAATGAATACTGATGCAACTGTCCTAAAATCATTTAAAAAAAAGCCTTATTAAAATAGTTAAATGATATAAATTTATATTTTATTATTATTATTAGTCTAATTTTTTTTTTTACAAAACTGTTTATTAATATTACTACAGATCAATGTCATGCAGTCCGACCAACTTGCATGAAAGTATAAAACCGCAAATTGTATCATAGAGAGGACTTCCTAACTCATAACTTCATAACTGTGTCAAGATCAATAAGTTTCTTAAAATATCAGATAATTTGACCTTTTTATTGTAATGCAGGCTGTAAAATGTCATGTGACTCTCCAAATTAAAAAAATAATTATGAATGATATTTGTTAATAAAGATAATATCTTTTTCTTGTAAAAAAAGAAAAATATTTTTACTTTTTACTTGATGCTTACACCACAATTTTAATTTCTTGAACATGGTTTAAAAGTTTTAAATTTCTTCCTGACAGTTTTTTGTTGTTGTTGCTACTTTTCGTAATCCCAAATATCCCCATTTAGTTTTATTAAATGGAAAAGTCTAACTAACTTTTCCTTAATGGAAGTCATACGAGTTTGGCACGACATGAGGGTGAGCAAATTATGACATAGTGTTCATTATAGCGTGCACTATTCCTTGGAAAATGGTTTATAGTGCATTGCTGTCAAATTAGGCCTTATACATTGAGATTAAATTAAGCAAACAATGTTACAGCTATAGCCCAATAATGTGATTTTGTAAATAATTTATTCATGCAGTAATCATGACTAGATCATTAATCTCCCAAGGTCACTGTGGAGGGATTTGAGCCTCTTCTGAGGTTTGCCTACACTGCAAAACTTCACTTCACGAAAGAAAACATCCTGGAGATCCACAGATGCGCCGAATTTCTTGGATTTCAAAACCTCGATAAAGCTTGCTTCGAATTCCTCGTCCCAAAGTTTTCTGATGGTGGTGGAACCTCAAAAAAGGTGAAGGAGAAAAGCAAGAGCCAAGAATCCAGTAAGAAATCCCAAGCGATCTGCAGTCCTAGTGACCAAAACCCTAAAACTGGAGAAGATGCTCAGGATGCAGGAACAGTCATGCAGGCTGCATCTGCAACATCCTCTGCAGAAAGTCCTAAAGATTGTCCACCGATCTCCAATGGCAAAGAAATGCAGTTAGATTTATCCTCGCTCTACACAAGAAGCTCTTCATACCACATGGGTGATGGCCAAGACCAGTTTTGCCTGCAGAACTGTGGCCCACAGTTGCCTTCCTCTTCTGTGGTGGCCGGTGAAGTGTGTCCTTTCCTGTCCACTTCGAGCACCAGTGATGAGAAACTGCATTCGGCTGTAGCTGGCTGTGGTGGGGACATTTTAGCAATGGAGGAACAATTCCAGAAGGAACTCGCAATGGAGGTACGTTGTGAACCACCTATTGATAAAGACCTGAACATAGCCAGTATCACCGATGGCCACTTTGACCAACTTGAAGGGTCTCTAATGCCGCCCACCAACTGCAGCCAACTATGTCCTCTGAATTCTGTGGAGTCAAGCGGGGTTTTGGACGGGATTTCCAGCGCTCCAGACATCAGTAGCATTGGCACCGACGACAACCAGGTCTTTGATTCCAACAAACAAACGTTCTCTGAACTGTCCCCCAAAGATGGCTTCAACGAACGAAGCATAGTGGAAAGGGAAGTGGCTGAGCATCTGGCAAAGGGCTTTTGGCCGGATTTGAGCTCCACGTTAAATGAGCCACTACCTTTGGACTCTATCGACCAGTCGTCTGCTGGAAACGGCTCGGACTTCCACTGGTTGAAGCATCTAGATCTGGGAGCTGCACCCGATGATTGTCCCTTCCTGAGGGACCTGAGCTCCACTGACAGACAGACCTCTGGGGGACACACTCTGTCCAATGAAGACACTGGAGACAGTTCCTGCATGTCCCCAATTAACTCCAGGGAAAACTCTGAGTGTGAATCGGATGGAGACTGTGCGCAGTGTGGTGGTAGCAGTGAACCGGTTCAGGAGGTGAGCATGCTAGCACTCACGGTTTTAAAACTTCATGAAGTTAGAGGTGGAGTTTGGTGCCAAATTGCAAACTTCACCAGTATTTTGTACTCTGTTGAGATTCCCTGACATGCATCAAATAAAAGTTTGGTAACGCTCCCTTTTACAGTACAGTACTTACAGTGTACTTACCTAGAAAGTACTGGCTAATATAAGGTAAGTACGTGGAACAGGGGTAGGTTTAGTGTTAGTTAGTACTAGTAATTGTAGTTACAAAAATAAGTACATAGTATTTACATGGGTAACTGGACTGTAAAAGGAAGCGTTACCAAAAGTTTTTTTTTTTTTAAATGTAACCAACCTCTAGGCTGAACCCCCTCCGTAATGCAGTGTTGACGTCAAGGTTGTCTTCCCAGGTGGATTTGCCATTCCCTGTGGAGCAAATTTCCAGCATGACCAGGAGGGCATTCCTGCAGATGTTGAAACGCGAGAAACTTACCCCGGAACAGCTGGAGTTTGTTCAGGATGTGAGACGGCGCAGTAAGAACCGCGTGGCTGCACAGCGCTGCCGCAAGAGGAAGCTAGACTGTATCTACTGGCTGGAGGGAGACATCAAGAAACTGGTATATCTGTTTATATAGCAATGTTTTGGGGAATGTCCTTCGAATGTTAATTGACTTGCATGGTTCTGATAAACTCTGGTATGACATGTGCAGACTCTACGATGATGACACCTATTGAACCGTAGGGTATGACGCAAGTTAGTATAGAAGATTAAAACGGCATACACTAGTGGAAACGAATAAGCAAGATGAGTCGCACTTAGTAATAACTACAGCTAACTAATTTGCTCGACAATTCAAATTAATGGCAAACAAACATGGCATCAAGGATTATTTTGTTATCTTTGTTCTCTGTTTTGTTTTATTTACAGATTTTCACTACACACTCAACTCATTGGGACCAAAAAAATTCACGATATGACTATAAAAGCGGTGATGTCTGGTATCACCCTGATAATGAAAATAATGTTACAGTTTTGTATAATAGACGACACTTTCATTGTAAAAATAATAAAAAATAAAATGAACATGAAATAAAGTAATAAATATGTTAAATGTTTAGAAAATATACATTTGTATACTAAATATGTACAAATATGCATAAAATACACTTTGGATTATTATCAGAGTTTAGTATATAGACAACACAATTGTTACTGGTACAATTAGAAGCAAGAATAATTTTAAATCCCTTCCATTACCACATTGTGTATGGACATAAAGTGTACAATTATATTGCGTATAGTGTCCCTTTTGTTGGAAATGGAGATTGAGTAAACCAATCAACACAGTTTTTGTAAACATGTAATGTTTTTCCACCATTAAGGCCCTTTCACACCGGACGCGTAACGAAAAAACGGTGAGCTGTCCTCTTAAAATCATCAGGGGCTACGTTTACATGCAATCCAATAAACACTGCATTAGTAAACCGATTGAAGGCTCAAATGAACTGAAAAGCTTTCATGCAAACACCCGGTTGGGCTCGATCCGAATTAGGACAACGTCCCATCAGTTCTTGTTTCAGATTCTCATCCACAGACGACTCGAGAGACTCAAGCAATCATAAGATCCGTCATTGTTGCTGTGACGTCACCTTTGTTTCCTTTATGTGATTGGCTGAAGCCTTTTCTATCGAATAAATGTCGTTTTATCGGCGCAGCATATTCGCGTTCGGTCTGGAAGCACTCATTACACAAACTACTGATCAAAAAAATAAAACCATCATGTGTCAAAATCGCGTCCAGTGTGAAAGGACCTATAGGAATGCAAAGTACAGTATACTAAAGTGGATCTTCTTTTGTCTCCACATTTATCAGAGGAGCGAGAAGGAGAAATTACTGCAAGATCGCAACCAACTGAAGCTCAGCTTGGAGGATATGCGTCAGAACCTCTCGGGCCTGTGCCAGAACCTCTGTACGGACACCTCGCCGCAGTCCGAGCAGCTGCAAGCGCTGGCCAGGTACGTCTCCTCCGACTGTCCCACCTCTATCCTCCTGACCCCCATGGCTTCTCCTAGCCTGGCTGGCCCAGACCGGGACGTCCCCGCGAACACCTTTCTTCCAGACATTAGTCCTGAAGGAGACACAGTAGCACTCAGGTCGCCCGCTGCCTTCCTGCAAGACACCGCTCAGAGCGCTGTTACAGATCCAGCTCCGTGATGTACAACAGAATAAAAGCCGCTTGGAATGGTCTGATAATTCAGTTTTACTCAGGAGCTTACCTTTCTGCTGCCGTCAGTTACACTTTTGAGCATGACTTTCTTATAGGAGCACTTTCGTAATGTTTCTAAGTATGGATGTGACTAAATTTGCACTATTGCACCAGGAGTTTCATATGGAAATGCTACTATGCCTTTCATTCCTTGCATAAGGGTCATTCCTGTTACGCCACACATTTTGAACTCTTAAACTTTAAAAACAAATACACCCTTGTGTTGTGATTCAAAGTATTTCAGAAATAGGCTTTTGTTGAAGATGTAAGATGACTTACAGAATAGTTGACTTGAAATACATGGTTTGTTTTATTATGGATTGATAGTAACTCAAATATCGATTTTTGATATTTTGATTCAGTCATACCATTTTCTTTTTGTCCAACGGGATGGAAAAATAAGACAAACAGCTAAAGCACAATGCATCAATTAATTTATCGAATGAACTGCTAATACTTCCTGGTGTTTATGCTGTTGTTTTCCCACCCAGAATGATGTCACTTCCTGGACAATAATGTCATTAAGGAACAGGCTTCTTTTGTTTTGTTAAAGGGATTTTTCAAAAGACTAACAGGGTGGAAAGTGATATTAAGGACACAGGAAATATCTAAGATTAACACTTAAAACAACATTCCCAAATTTTGTGTTTTGATTAAAGAAAGAAAAACGTCTGGAAAATCTCTCTTTTTATCCAAATATAACTTATGTACAGTATTTGTATATATAATGGAGAATTGAAAATGTACTACATAACAGGAATGACTCATTTCCAGTGCTAGCATTAACTTCACTTACACTGCCACTATAGACAATCATAGTAATTATCTTTATGTTAATGGTTTATGATTTTGTTATGCAATGTAGAGCATAAAAGTACATTCCAGTTTAGCCTAATACGTCTTTATCATTATCGGCATGAGAATTCTATATTAAATATGCATCTGTGTTTTTTTTTTAAGTATCCGTATGTGCATATGTCATAGATATAATAACATTTTAAATAACTGCCATGTACGTTTTCATGCATATCATGTAGGATTTGTGAAAAATACATAGATTCCATAGTCACTCTTAGGTAAAGTTTAGATACTGTTCACTTTTTGCCTGCTAAAGTGGACTGAGTTTGGAAAAGGCAGATATAATTAATCCTAAAAAAAAAAAAAGTCATAATTAATCCTATTTACTTTAATACATGTTTATGGTCTTATTGTGCATGATGATTCTTCATTCCACATTACTTCAATGAAAAGTTTGTAATGTAATATTTCATTGACATTATTAATAATAATATAACAATACATCACCCTTTTCAGCTGATGTCAGCCTATTGGCTGTTGGATCACAAATAGAGATTCAGGCATTATTTTAACTCTCGTTGTGGTACAGAATGCTCACTTTTCATGTACGGAGGATAAAATTAATTTCTGACCTTACTTTCTGTTTAACTGTACTTCACATTATGGATGTAAAATGGATGTGAATGCCGTTTCATGTTGACTTTAATGCTTGGATTAGTCTAAAAAATGTAACTTGTTCATTTTGTCATTGTAGCGTTCTGTTTTTTGTGCTTTTTTGTTTTGTTTTAACCCTGTAACCAACATACTGTCATGTAAGCCTAGAATGCACTGTATAATTCACTATTTGATTCATATTTAACAAATAGCAGCAAATAAAATGTCAATACTAATATTTTTCACTAAATGTTTAAATGCAGTGGTGCTTGCTAAAAGTAATGTATGAAATGCATGAATAATGCATGAAATAGCTGTACATGTAAGCACAGTTAGTCTAAGGCAAAGAATAGCTCGGATTTTTAGAAAGCGTCCCTATTGAAGGGGTGAATGTTGATGCATTTAATTGAGATCACGGTAAGGTTTCGTAAACACACTGATTGATTTCACCATCGTCTCTCTAGCTGTTACTGTTTTCCCCAGAGCCCTGTTTTTAATGATCAGTTCCCGAATACGATAAATTGTGCATTAGTGAACCAGTTTTGATATAATAAATAACAATAATAATTAACAAATTCACAATACAAACATTTCTCAAGATGTGATATTGAGTGGTTGTCAGCAGTTGAGTAACTTCACCACAAGAGGTCAGAATAATCATGAATAGCACATTCACACAAGTTTAAATACTGTCATCCAATAAGCAAAATGATTATGCCCAGAGATTTCGCTTTGTTTCTCTCTGCCACTGACAGGGCCAGACTTTTTGGCATTAACAAGTGGTATTAGAGTCCAGGTTAGTTCACTTCCATCTTCTCCCCCTGTAACCAACATTTACTATATGACACAATAGACTGTTTGCTTATGCACTTTTCAGTACATTTTATTGTTTGTATTTACAGAAGGAGTTTATGGGCATGACAAAAACAGTTTCATGAACTATTTCATAGTTCATGGGGGATTGTTATAAAATGTATTTGAGACATGAATCTCCAACAACTTTGTAGCATAGCCTAACTATTCTTTTACCACTAATCAAAGTCATTTGAATATTTATCATAAATGCATATTATCTAATCAACCAATCACATGGCAGTTGCTTCAATGCATTTATGGGTGTGGTCCTGGTCAAGACAATCTCCTGAACTCCAAACTGAATGTCAGAATGGGAAAGAAAGGTGATTTAAGCAATTTTGAGCGTGGCATGGTTGTTGGTGCCAGACAGGCCGGTCTGAGTATTTCACAATCTGCTCAGTTACTGGGATTTTCACGCACAACCATTTCTAGGGTTTACAAAGAATGGTGTGAAAAGGGAAAAACATCCAGTATGCGGCAGTCCTGTGGGCGAAAATGCCTTGTTGATGCTAGAGGTCAGAGGAGAATGGGCCGACTGATTCAAGCTGATAGAAGAGCAACTTTGACTGAAATAACCACTCGTTACAACCGAGGTATGCAGCAAAGCATTTGTGAAGCCACAACACGCACAACCTTGAGGCGGATGGGCTACAACAGCAGAAGACCCCACCGGGTACCACTCATCTCTACTATAAATATGAAAAAGAGGCTACGATTTGCAAGAGCTCACCAAAATTGCACAGACTGGAAAAATGTTGCCTGGTCTGATGAGTCTCGATTTCTGTTGAGACATTCAGATGCTAGAGTCAGAATTTGGCGTAAACAGAATGAGAACATGGATCCATCATGCCTTGTTACCACTGTGCAGGCTGGTGGTGGTGGTGTAATGGTGTGGGTTTTTTTTTTCTTGGCACACTTTAGGCCCCTTAGTGCCAATTGGGCATTGTTTAAATGCCACGGCCTACCTGAGCATTGTTTCTGACAATGTCCATCCCTTTATGGCCACCATGTACCCATCCCCCAGCAGGATAATGCACCATGTCACAAAGCTCGAATCATTTCAAATTGGTTTCTTGAACATGACAATGAGTTCATTGTACTAAACTGTCCCCCACAGTCACCAGATCTCAACCCAATAGAGCATCTTTGGGATGTGGTGGAACGGGAGCTTCGTGCCCTGGATGTACACCTCACAAATCTCCATCAACTGCGAGATACTATCATATAAATATCGGCCAACATTTCTAAAGAATGCTTTCAGCACCTTGTTGAATCAATGCCACGTAGAATTACGAATTTGCCACCTTGTGAAAGAGTACGTTTTTGCATAAAATTGGGTTGGAGTCTCTAGCTTGCTAGAAAGAGCCAAACCTTAAAAATCAATTTTGTCCTTTGCAGGAAGATAAATCTCCATCTTGAGCAGCCTTGTCTTAGTGAATTTAATTTAAAGCTCCCTATTAAGATAAAGTTGTGTTTGGTTTGCTCTCCTGCACTGAATTTAAATAATCTACCATGTCTAGGGAACATTGGTTTTAATCAGTAGAAAAGCCCATTTTCTGTTGGTCCATCTGCTCAAGGTCACCACGCCAGTTGTCATTGACATTTCAGACTCCATCATTCTAAAGCTAAACTTTGCCAATTGGCTACGTTTGTGGTCTTCTGTGAGTGTATTGATCTTACCTTGTTTTGTTGAAACTAACTAGATTCAGAACACCATTAAAAACTCAATCATTTATCTTTTAAGTTGTAATTACTCTGTGTGGCCCGACAGGTTCTTAGCTTAGTTCTTAATTGTCCTTTCAAGGTGATCCCATTTGTTTACCTCCTCCACGCATACTAAAGATCTCCAAATTTATTTGGTTTTGTTTTCCTCTCCAAGTTTTCCTCTCTTTAATGAGGTGAGTGCTTAGAAATATTCCAGTGGTGTAGCCAACATGCCATACAGTGAGAGCAAGGGTTCCTCCGCAGCGGCATATTTATACAATACAATGAGAAATGAAATGCTGATATAGAAGTACTGGTTGATATAGGCTGTTGTTGTTTTGATCTGTTGTTTAAAATAAAATTTTCCCTCCATCCAATGATGATGTTGCTTTGAAACAGTGGCATAAAGGGTCATTGATGCCAAAGTCGATCTTCCTGTGGCCAAGAAGTCATTGGGGCAGAATAAAAGCCAATCTAGTTAAATATCAACAGAAAATAGAAAAGGACCGAGAAAGATATCACAGTAAAAAAAGAAAGAGGAAAAGTGAAACCAATCTTAGAGCGACACTCTTCTACGAGCGACGACGTATATCCACTGCAAACGCTGAGTTGGCCACTACACCACAAAACACACCTCAGACACCGGACACTCCACCCATAGTGGAAAGATCTACATCCAGTGGTAGGAAGAAAGTGAGGATTTGTCTGTGGTTAATACTACTGCTGGTTGATACCCTGAGAAAAATCGAAAAATATAATAAAAGGTTCCCCAGACTACAGAAAAAAATCAGTCATAATGACTCACCACGGAGTAAAGTGGCAAGACAAATGGAGGAGGGACCAAAAAAAACTAAGGACGACTGTAACCTTTGAAAACACCATCATTTCTCATTTGAGGGAAAAGAAACCTCTGCCAAAAACCAGCAGCTGATAGCCAAAATTGTGTCTTCTAAAATTCTCCAGAAAAACAAGACTAATGAAATTTGCACAGAGTGGCATCTCAGCAGTTCTTGAAGATGACTGCAGAATGGGCACAAACCTTAAAGTGTAATCGAGGTTTGCAATTAAACAAAATCATCAAATTCCTCTCATGGGATGAAAATTCAAGGGCCACAACAGGAAAAAAAAGAAACGCTGACAAGCAATAAAACTCGAATGCAGAAGCGCTTCTTGAATGAATCTATGCAACTTCTTAAATTACTAAAAGAATTTCTTACTCACAATTTTCCAAGAGGCGTCGCTTCAATTTTCTAAGAGGCGTCGCTTCAATTTTCCAAGAGGCGTCGCTTCAATTTTCTAAGAGGCGTCCCTTCAATTTTCTAAGAGGCCCTTGGGTGGTTAGACCGAGAGTACAGGACAGAGACACACGTCTCTGCAAAAACAGCGCAGTCTCATCCCAAGACGTCATATAACTGACGTCTTGGGACGTCTTTTGACCATACGTCAACATCCGCCTTTTTAGGGTACCCTTAAAAGTCGGTTAGATGACGTTATCGGATCCTAACCCTACCCCAGACCTAAACCTACCCCGTCACCTAACCGACGTTAAAGGTAAAGCGTCAGTTGTATGATCGCCATGTAACCGACGTTTAAGGGTACCCTAAAAAGGCGGATGTTGACGTATGGTCAAAAGACGTCCTAAGACGTCAGTTATATGATAAGATGAGACTGTGTTAGCAAAAAACACACCAATAGACCATTCATGAGTTCACACTTACATACAATTATGCTGCGTTCACATGCTATGGAAAATAGGATATTTTCCACTTGTGAACTGGTATTTGTTGCGTTCAAGTGCTTTTGTTGTTGTAATTTGGTAAAAAGATGGAGATCCAGACCTATTATTTAGCTAAAACTATTTTAGATCGTTTAAGTCATCTGCTACAGCAAGAAAATGATTTATAAAAACTCAAAAGGTAAATAATATGCTGTATATTTTCTAGATCATGAATAGTATATCATTTTGAATAATTTAAAAAAAACAAAATTTTACCATTCACGACTCTCGCGGAAATGGTCAAAGGTTATCTCATCTCGGCAACTCGTCCATCAAAATATTCTACGAGTTGCCCGGTGGTAAATACCACATGAGGAGGTGTTCATGTGCATTTTCCACGTCAGCTTTTGGTATTTACCATAATTGCCATAGCACATGAACGCAGCATTAGATGGGGTAAAGTTTAATGCGTATTTGGTGTGCTGTCCGGGTGTAATTAGTTAGGACTGACAGGAAACGCCCTGATAGCACACGTACATCATAGAGACATCTATTTGATGTGTGTGTTTACATCTGGAAGACATATTATTTAGAGTGTTTGCTCATCTGCAATACGTCTATAGGACGTTTCCTGTCAGATGTCAAATAGACGTTTAGAAGATGTCTTAAAGATGTAATGATTTAGAATGCATGTTAAACTGACATCTTAAAGATGTCTATCAGAGGTTAGTAAACAGCAGATGCTTTCCAGATGAAGCGATCTTTAACAGACATCTTGCAGACGTACGTGTGCTACATATATGACATATTCCTGATGAGCAAACACTCTAAAAAAAACGTCTTCCAGGTGTAAACACACACATCAAATAGACGTCTCTGTGATGTACGTGTGCTATCAGGGAACATCTGGAATTTTTCCGCAGCCGATTAAAGAGTGCATCTCATCTCTCTCTCTGTACTATCACAACTGCTGCAGACTGTTTTCTCCCGCGATATTATCCCAAATCCTATTTAAAGTCATAGAAAATTTTAAGTATAACCCTTAAATTTCACTTCCTACATAATTGTAAATAACATCATTGGATAGAGGCACAGAATCGAAGTCCTCCCTGTTTCACAAAGATCCACCCACTTGGAGATTTTTGGCATCACCCCTGCTTTGAAATCTCAAATTACAGCTGAACAGCAAATTGGAAACGGGACAAAAATATTCCTTTTTAACTGCACTGGGAAATATCAATCCTAATAATTAAGTCTCTTGGGATGTTACGCAGATGGCAGGTTTAAACAATTTTAGCTTGGATTATAGAATTAATAAAAACGATTGGAATCTTTGATGTTTTGAAACTAACATACAAAACCACTCCTTTTTATTATTGAACCTCTAAATCAAACCCTCATGGTTTCTGAGATATGTCAATTTATTACTAACAACAACAACTGTAGCATTTAAATGAAGACTCATTCCTTTGACAAAACCAGGAAAGATAACCATTCTTTTTAGGATTATAATGATTTTGAGTATGATTAATAGTAGTGGTGGTAGTAATACTACTACTAAACATAATCAACAACAACAATAGCTCATGTTTTGTTTATAATCAGTGGGATTTAGCTTCATTTTTTAATTGGCCCAGAGCCCTCTCAGAGTGCCTGAATGATCATCAACTCCAAACTGGTTCAGATATACAAGCCCATTTGAAAATCGATCAGTTTTAGTTGTTTTGATTCAGTTTCAATGGCGAATTCCATCAATTTTTAATTAACATTTAAACATACAGCATACAATCTTTGTGAGCGCAGAGAAATGTAATGGTTTTGTGTCGGTTATTGTGTTAAGCCTCAGTCTAGATTTAAGACTGTACTGCATTGCTCCTTCTGAAATTTTTTGATCTCCCCCAAATCCTTTCCTGTAATTTTTTTCTGGCAACTCGAACTCGCACTATGGATTATGGAAAGCTGTAGCCATGATGGTACAGTGGGAAAAAGGACAGGATTTGAAAGTTTCAGCAGAAAGCCACTTAAAGTTGGAGACAATAAACAGAGCTTTGAGAAAAGAAGCAGCCTAGGGCCGGGTACTCGTGCGCTGAGAGCGTCAGGCTCTTGGTGGCAGCATGTAGCCATGAAAATCACAATACAAGCCCACGTCAGTGAATATTAAAGAGTACTTCATCAGCTCAAGGACCTGGTTTACTCATATATTATATATATATATATATATATATATATATATATATATATATATACACACAGTATAATTCATATATTGATGTTAGATTAAATTTTAGAATGTAATTTATTTTATATACTTTTATATTTAGAATTTTTCGAATTATAGAATTTAGGATGTCATTTAATCTACATTCGTTATTTTTATTTGTTTATTCTCACTTTTATTTCAAAACTTTTTGTATAATTTTATTCAAATTATATATATATATATATATATTATTCATATTTAGAATTGCATTTAACTTCAAATATTAATAATATCAGATCACGTGTAGAATTCAATTTATATATATATATATATATATATATACAGTATATATATATATATATATATATATATATATATATACACACATAATTATATATATATATATATATATATTAAAGGTTTCAATTTTAAATATTCTCACTTTTATTTCAAAACTTTTTTGTATAATTTTATTCAAATTATATATATATATATATATATATATATATATGTATTATTCATATTTAGAATTGCATTTAACTTCATATATTAATAATATCAGATCATGTGTAGAATTTAATTATATATATATATATACAGTATATATATATATATATATATATATATATATATGTATATATATACACACACATAATTATATATATATATATATATATATATATATATTAAAGGTTTCAATTTTAAATATATACATATACAGTATATAGAACTTTTATTATGTATATACTGTATATACATGTATATATTTAAAATTGAAACCTTTCATATATATATATATATATATATATATATATATATATATAAAGGTTTCAATTTTAAATGTATATATATAAAATTGAAACCTTTTGCATTTAACTTCATATATTAATAATATCAGATCACGTGTAGAATTTAATTTATATATATATATATATATAGATATATATTTTAAAGGTTTCAATTTTAAATATATACATATACAGTATATACAACTTTTATTATGTTCTATATACTGTATATACTGTACATGTATATATTTAAAATTGAAACCCTCATATATATATATATATATATATATTTATATACATATATATATATATATATATATATATATATATTAAAGGTTTCAATTTTAAATATATACATGTATATATACAGTGTATAGAACTTTTATTATATAAATGTAAAAAATGTATACAATTTAATCTAACATTGTCAATACATATCAAAGTGTGTGTGTGTGTGTAAGATTATCTGTGCTGTGTTCACTTGTGTGTTGCATGAAGAAGAAAACACAAATCTGAGTTTGTGCATATTTTACTCAGTACTCTGAGTTTTTTTTTCTTTTTTACAGAGGCATAGTTTGAAAAAGTTGAATATTTAATGTAAAAGCAACCTCACACATTTTCCCATACAGCAAAAAAAAACAATAGGGCAAATCAAAAGTTCTTAGAAAAATGTCTCAGTTCTAGTTGATGTTATAAAGAGTGAAATAAAGTATGAACACTGGAAACATGTTTCGTAAAAACGTACATTGAAGTTTACACTTTCTCCAGAGCTTCAATGTGTGGTCGTATATGTTTTGTTGCAAACACAAAGGCAATAATGGTGATTGTTGTTCTGACCTTCTCATGAACAAACGGCCCTATCTGTTCACAAGCTTATAAAAAGCACTAATAATAATGTATTGTGTTTGTCCATCAGATTTACCCAATAAATCGGTATTAATGACAAGTATCCGTGGGGACTTAGCGTAGAGAGGCTAAAATGAAATTGCACACATGTGGAATAAAACAGAGCAATAAAGATTTCGAATTCAATTAAATAGCGTACCAAATGCTTAAGTATACACATTATATACATTCCCTGGGTTGGGACAAAACAAACTAACAAACAAATATCTTCTTCACTTATATGAACTAAATGTATGGGACACTTGAAATATATATTTTGACATTTGTTTTCTCATATATATATATATATGGGATCCTACAGTTTAACAATATTCCACCAATAATCACTTGAGCAAAGTAATATACAGCAATATTAACAAGGGTCGGTCAGCAAAGGAAAATGAAACAATGGCAAATACCCATTCAAACGTCGAACAAATGGCTGTTTAGATCAACTCACAAAGCAAGAACAAAAATTCATTCACTCGAGTGATAAAAGACAAATTCAATTAGGCTCTTCTTTTCATCCTGAGACTGTCTAAACCAATGACATTTTACAATGACGTTGTGCTTATGTTTGGTACATTTTCAGTTTTGAAATAAACGCTCGGGGGGGAGAGGGGGGGAAATATTAACAGTGCAAGAATATACAGACAGGTATGATGGAAATAGAAAATAATCTCGCTTCTAATGGTTACACACCAATTCTCATTTGTGCTTCATCGACTTCCTGCCATTTTCAATTTGCCGGCTTGTTTCGGGTTTCCGTACGTTACATAATTGTCCGTGTCTCTTGGGCATATTCTTTATTACAGGGCGTACTTTCACAATGGAAAACAACATACACTCACACACGCACAAAAAAGACAGTACATGATATTTACATTATACATCTCACATATTCTTGTCTTAAAGCGTAATTATTGGCAAAGCCAAGGTTTTCCGACTTGAGATGAACCACATTTCTTGCCGCTCCCTGGTAATATCTGTAAAAAGGTATATAACAGGCACAGTGAGGGTGGTTGAGAAATCAGCATTCACTGGGAAATTGAATGAGTAAACACAGCAACAAACATGACAAGCACATGTCTGTATATTTTGGCACTTTGCAAATCAAACGGGGGTCATTTTGGGGGGGTGGGATAGGGTTTCTTGGCCTAAATGGACCTGGTGTTACAGTTACAAACTCAACTGATTTTAGATTTGTTTTTTTTTTGGACGATTGCGAATCGTTTAAAAAGAGGCAACGTTCTTTTTCAGCAGGTGGCGTGTCGAATTTGGCCTTAAAGAGGTTTCGCAAACAGAGACAAAGCCAGACCAGACTAGTGCTGTTAGGGAGCGGAGCGCTATAACGCCTCCTCTGCTGGCTCGCAGTGTTGCCGTGACAATACTGAACAGAAAAAAACAGAGGTGCTAAATGAAGTACTCTTTCTTTTCCTCTGCATGTGCGTGGTTCCCCTCCGCATTGATGATGGCAGTGTCTGCGTCAGGGGCGTCCTCCGCTCCTTTGGCCTCATTGGTTAAGTATGTCCCTGTCCACACAGTCCCACATAGGTCACATAGACACATAAGGTACAACAGTGGACATGTTGAAGCATTTTGCACACTATAGGTGAGGGGACGGGGGGGCGAGAGAGGGGAGGGAAGCCGTACCTTTGTGCCTGGCCAGATATCGGCCCAGGACGATGACGAAGCACAGGGTGATGAAGACCACCACGGCCACCACTCCGCTGATGAGAGCGTGGTCGGGACCGTGCTGCGTCAGAGCGTTGGGATCTGGAGGAGGAGGAGGAGGAGAGGACGGCGTGAAAAGACGACGGTGGAACGGCCGCTGTAATTAGCCAATTATGGGTCGGCGTGTTAATGTAAGACGCGTGGACTCGTTACTTCCCACAATTCACTAAATACAGTTGTGAGCAGGCAGTCATTTCATTCTTCACTTGATGCCATTCAATTTAGATATTGTAACACGCAATTAACAAACCACACCGAAGTATGCATGAACCGTAACCTTCGTGCTGTAGTGCTACATAAATGAAGTGTTAAATGGTGCAGGTTGTTGAGGAAAGGTTGGCTTTCTAAGGGATCAGAGTTGCGTTTTCTTATGGAGACTTATCAGACTTGATTTTTTACAATTACGTCGGTAGAAATTTTGTCCCGTTTTATAAAAAAAAATAAAAACAAATAAAAAAATCAACACTGACTTACCCAGACCAAAATATCATAATAGAGTGCCGAAGTTACGACGTGACTTTGTAGGCCAAAACACGGAAGTGAGTTAGCATTTTAGCACTCCCGGTTCCCTCGCTCTAAAGTCTATGGGATTTTTGAATTGGTTTTTGCTAAATCGCCAGAAATAAGGTCTGTGGTGAACAAAGCCTCTAAATATTTTCACGTTTTGATTATGACATAAAACACACCAGTTATAACCTGCTTGTGTTTTTTTAAACTTTATTGTGTCTGCTTGTGCTTTTTTAAAACTTTACATAGGCTTCAAATTGTATACATTTTGGATTAACTTGTAAAGATTATCTTGATAGACAAAACGTATAAGGGTCAGAACTCTTTGTTAAACACAGATCTTCTTTTTTGCAATTTTTCAAAAGTCTATGGGAAAAATGGATTGCTTTTCGATCGAGGGAACCCATCGGTTACTAGCTTCCGAGTAGTCCTACAAAAAGTGACGTCATCACTTTGGCACTCTATATAATATATATGGTTGTGAAATATGTATATAATGTGAAAAAAGGTGAAATCGTTAACACTTTTTTGTGATTTTCCCATTGGAATCATGGGTAAGTTCAGGTCTGGGTAATTTTTGTACTACTCAACTTGTAGGACTGATTTCTTTACGGGTTAGTTCACCAAAAAAATTTAATTGTCATCATTTACTCGTCCTCATCCAAAAGTGTAAGACATTCGTTCATCGTCGGAACACAAATGAAGATCTTTTTTTTTTTCTGTCACTCCATTGACAGCTACACAACTACCACTTTGAACCACCAAAACAGGTAGTAAAGACATTGTGCATGTCAAAGATTAAATTTTTTTGTATATAAAGTGGTAAATTATGTTTTTTGTTTTTTTTTGCACAAACAAAGCACTTACGTATAGCTTCATAAAATTGAGGTTAAACGATGGAGTCACATGGATTAGTTTAATGATGTCTTTACTAACTTTCTGGGGCTTGAAAGTGGTAGTTGCATAGCTGTCAATAGAGAGTAAAATGTGCTCAGATTTTATTTAAAATATCTTGATTTGTATTCCGAAGATGAACAAAAGTCTTATGGGTTTGAAACGACAAGAGGGTGAATAATTCATAACAGGATTTACATTTTTGGCTAAATTTTTTCTTTAAGATTTCTCTAAGAGATCTCTTTTTTTTTTTTTTTTGTTTGGTTAAGGCACATAGTCTGCATGCTCTAAACTGCAAGTCATTTATCACATTTAATAAAAGAGGCACAGTAGCTACAGCTTCCATTTCCATTTTGCACAAATTTCCCCTGAAAATGTTGAGCTTTTGAAGATATGGGATGTAAACGCTGCTTTTTTCAACTTTTTTTCAACAAATAGTTTTTTGCAATATTATTATTTATATTTTTTGAAACTTGGATGAAAACATAGCTATAGAAACTTGTGCCAGTAAGTTACCACCTAGTAACCAACCAGAAAACTCCTAGCAACCACAGAGCAAATATACAAATCTAGTTTAAAACAAAAGATGGGATAAGATTATAAACATATAATCATTCATATTTTAAAACAATTTTTAGTTAAATAATGTAGGACTTGATGTTTTACTGCTGCTGTCTCATTTCTTTCAATGACCCATGCCATTAATGGTGCATCACTTAAAATAATTAGTTTTTTTAATGTTATGAATCATAAGTTTTGGATACATACATAATACATGCATACATAATACATACACACTGACATCTTCATGATGCTTAAATAAATTAATGCTACTGAAAAAGCTTATAGAATGCATTTTCTGTAGCCACTGAATATTTAGGGAATATTGTGTTGGGCATCCCATTTATATATCATCCAAAATATATATATATTATATTACTGCCATATGACATCCCCATGCGGTCAAATTGAGGAGTTGCAAACTGCTGTTTATTCCATGCCGGATCACAGAAACATCCCCAGCATGCCATTCTGCTTTGAGTTTTGGAGCCCAAGCAACATCAATTCAAAGCCAATGTACTATCCTGACTTTCAATAGGCGGCAGGAGGGAGGGGTGGGGGGTTTATCATTACAAATGAATGCTGAACAGCTACCAAAGACCTGTCATATCTCACAGCCCTGCAAGGACCAAAGTCACTCAATTCTTGGCGATATATAACAAGTTTAAAACCGGCAGGGGTTGCGGCAGACTGATTTGTCTCCTGGGTTTAACTTTGAGTGAGCGAGCGCAGACTAGGGTGAATCCGGTCGCCTCTGAACTTACTGAATAAATCGCCACCTGGAGTTGTGAATCTTAAGACCCCACTGCGGATAGCTTAGTACGCTAGACAACTAGTGCTGCAGGTGCCTTGAATGTGTCGAAGGATTAGTTCACCGAAAAATTCTCATTCTTTCTTCTGTGGAACACAAAAGGTGAAATTTTGATGAATAGCATGGTCACTCTTTTCCATAATGAAAGTTTATGAGGACTGCGAATACACTGCTATTCACTGGAAACTTAGCCCCTTTTCCACCAAAGCATTTTGAGAGCCGGTTCGGAGCCGGTGCCTGCGCGCGAACCAGTTCTTTGAATTTCGACAGCCAAAGAACCGGCTCGCGGCCGGGAAAACTGGTTCCATAGCGGCACCAACTCTTTGCTGGACTAGAACCGTTCTTTTAGCACGTCATGTTTACGTCGGGGGCTGGGGCGGGTTTAGATGCGTTCTAAACATATTTTCTGACCATCGCAAAGCCAGGAGAAACTGCAGAAACACGCAAGTGTTTTTATTATTTATTTATTTTTTATTTGAAACATAAGCAAAGAAGAAAACAGTCACGATATAGAACAAATAAAATGGAAAGAAAAAGACACAAGACAGGGGTACATAACTTATCAGAAAAGATTACATATCAAACGAAAAGATTAAAAGACTTTTAAAAGTTTTCTTGGTACACGAGTTAGAGATAATCCCAAAGCAATGTACTTGCAAGCGTTTCTAGCGACCTGCACAGTGACGTAACGACGTCATTTCCTGGGCGCTCTAGTCAGTGGAAAAACAAACAGGTTCTGAACGGGTTCGCAAGTTGAACCAACTCCGAACCAACTTTGAACCAGCACCAGTTACGAACCAGTTCTTTTTTCGGTGGAAAAGGGGTATTTGTGCTGATAATCATTGCGACCAAATCATTGATTCGTTGAGTTGAACCAGATCAGTAAAATTAGCGAACAAATCATTCAGAAACGTTTCGCGAATCGGGACAATTTGTCTGGAGTTGCTGGCGACTAACAACCAAGTCTTGCTTGTATATACTCTTGTGCTGTATTGTTCTTCATTTGTCATCTTCGTTTTATTTTGCTTCACTTCAGAATAGACATCCACTCTTGCATTGCGTGTTCGTGCATTTTGGGGTTGATTTCAAATATTAAAGTCCCCGTGAAATCAAAATTGAACCTATTTACTTTGTTAGCGCATATTACTAGTCTTGTGGTGAACAATTAATCCGTGCAAGTGAATATATATTAAAAAAATGTTTTACCTTAGTAATCTTTAATCAAAATCTGAAAAGTTACTTCCGGTCTGGAACGGTTTCTTTCTCTGATGACGTAGGTTTCACAGTTTGGGTGGGGAAACGCTTAACCACTCCCCTCAAACCGTTAGTTTGCTATGAGCGAGAGATGGAGAGGAGGAGCGCTAGAGTAAAACCCTGCCCTCTGTTCAATATTCCGTTTCACTTGGAAATACGTCACAGCACTGGAGAAAAATCGTTTGCAACTTCCGGTTCACGGGGACTTTAACAGTGTTTCTCAGAGATTGTTTACTGCACCTTCAAAGCCTCATTCAGGCCAGGATTTCTAAAAAAAAAAAAAAATCACCTTTTGTATTCTAATACAGAAGAAAGTCGTACAGGTTTCGGGATAGCATGAGGGTGACAGGACTTTTGCGTGAAATATCCCTTTAACCTCGCTTGAAGGGGACAAAATGGTTTTTCTTTGACCTGGAGTGATTGTGTCCTGACACAGCACCTTTTGGCTCAGCGTTGAGCACAATTTCAGTGCTTCTGCAAGGGTGTAAACTTTAACTATGTGTCTTTATTGCACCTCGAACTTGCTCTCATTAGCTCATAGTGATGAATGGCTCTGTCTTCTGCTGTGTTGGCAAAGTGACCCTGGTAGATGTGTAGAACAGCTCTTCTGCAGACCCATTTCTAACACATACGTGAACCCATTTTGTTCAATTAACATTGTGCTTTGTTTTGAGGCAAAAAAAAAGCCACGTGGCAATTAAGTTCAAAGAATGCTACGCTTTATGTGAGGCAGTTCAGAATCAAGTACACCAATCTTGATTCATGAGATTTGCTTCACCCCAATTTTGTATTTAGATATCAGATCAGATTTAACTTGCTATGCAGCATTTAAAAGACCATTAGAAATATAAAGCTTATATAAATTTAAAGCACTTTTGTAAATGTCTGCAAAATGCTTATAATAAATGTTAGAAAACATGATGCATAATGATAGCAGGTCTACACAACAAAGTCATTATTGCTCCAGATGTCTTTTTTTTTCTTATGAATATGCTGTTTGATAATAGTTTTATTG